AAAAAAATTCATTTTTTTGAAAATTTTTGCCCGTTTGACCTTGAAATAAAGGTCAAAGGTCAAATCCAAGGGCATATTTGAAATCTACACATATGACTTTTGGAAAGCCGTCTGTAGAAATTTTTCCCATAATTCCTTCCGTAGGGTAGATAATTAGCATTTAATTTTGCCATTTTTGGACAAGGGTGCATTGCAATGAGTGCCACACCTAGACCCCAATACCGACAAAGCCCAAATTTTACGTGGAACGAGTTGAGATTATAGGTGACCTAAATCCAAGAGATGGGTATGGGGACCCTTACCGTCTAGGAGGAGAAGCGGTAATGGTAACATGGCGGCGGAGCCGCAGGAGCCGGCGGAGCCGGCGGAACAGACCGGACGGGACTAAAACCATGTGTATCGCCAGCGCTAACGCTGGTGGTACAATAATGATATAATAAAGAAATCATGTCTCCTAGAATGCATGCTGATATAAAAGATTATGACCTTGGAAAATGCACAAAAAAGGAAAGTACAGTATCAAGCAAATCTAAAGTATCACTATTGCCTGGCTTATCATTTCCACAGTTAAAATCAAGTTAGTGGGGAAAAAACAAATACAAAATGCTTATTTGCATGCATTCACATGATCTTCTTAAAAAAAATTACCTGAAACTTTAGACAGGACCTCTCCACATGTCATCTGCAAGCTGAGCTCCATGGTGCGGAACTTGTGCCCTGCTCCAAACTTGGGATGCTGCAGTACACTGGTGGAGGCATTACTGGTGCCCTTGTACAGAGATGACGAGGACTTGAATGCCACCAGGATCTTTTCATCCTCCAGTAACACTTGCAGGAAAAGGCGCCGTGTAAAACCTGACAGTGGCAGGTTGCCCTGATTAAGTACTGGAAAATAAACAAAAGGATGAAAGCAAATTTCATCAATTTTCATTTTAACATTTAAGACAAAACATGTAACTGGGATAATTAAAGAAATATGTAGGTCCTCAGAAATTGCCTAAAATTATTGGCTTCAACCTTGGAACTCATATTTGATTCTGTTGAATGAACAACCATGCCACATAACAAGATGATGAATAGATTTAAGGGTAGCACCATATCTGCAATCTAACTTTTGGTGATCAAAACGAAAACAAAATCCTGGTGTAAATTCCTTCTTAAATACATCATAAAAAACGAAAAATTTTCAATCACAGTGAATTGAAATACAATACCTGGATAATATTAAAAATCTCAATATAATCACCAAACAATTAAGTGAAGAAATTGTAATTTTACCTGCATGTGGTGATCCCTGTCCTTTGATAACATCACACAACACCTGGGCAAATAACTTCTGGTTTGTGGAGTGACAGGTGACCACTTTGGTGAAGAATACTACAGCAGCACTCTCTATGGCGGCCCTCTGGTGTCCTGACATGACCTGATCAAATATATACGTATTCATCTTTAAAATCAGATTTGACATAATGATGAATATTTTAACAGGAAAACATTTTTAGAATGGTAACTGACTGGCTTTAACTGCCTGTTTTTAACCAAGATTTTTTTCAAAGTATTTTTTTCAATCAAACAGTCACGAATTAAGGTTTAATCAAAAGAAGAGACACCAAATCATTATAAAACCTGCATGTAGTAGGTTTGTTGATCCATTTAGGAGAGTCTTAGTGATATGTAGAAGGTCCAGTAAGATCCATCTCTTACCTTGCACCTGTTGGTAGTACAGGCATCCAGTAGTGCTGTCTGAGCAGGTGTGTTACACAGCATGTTCAGTAACACACTCCAGAAAATATTGCCCTCATTATCCCCCAGCCAGTCCTTCATCACGGACTCCTGGGTCACCGTGGTAAAGAAATGGAGGACTGGAGCTACCAGGTCTGCTGTCAAACATATGCCTTTGTCTAATGGCAAGCAATATATATTAGTTACAAGGGTGAAATTATTTTTCACTGTTGCACAAAAAACGTATAATTGCTTTCAAAATGTTTTAATTGTTTCAGTACATTGTAAACCTTGGTCTAAATCCAAAGCATTTATCAATCCATTCCAAAACTGAAGTCGTTTCAACCACAGTTCTAAAACCATTCAACTATCAATCCAATCTGTCTGTATTTATACTGACCTGATGCTAGAGATTCCACACTTTCTTTCCTTCGAGAACCTTTCTTCAAGTTATTAGTTTTGACAGAGTCAGTTGTCTTTTCAGAGAAAGACAAAGAGTCACTGTATCGTCCAAGCTCTTTATTACAAAACTCATACATTGCCTGGGCCAACATAGCTGGGAATCCGGACTCTAGAAGCTGCCGCACTGCACTTTCAGACTGACAGGCCACACCAAGTGTTGCTAGGTGAACCTCATCTAAGATCATGTGACCCAAATCCTGTAACGTCATTGGTTGATGTACAGTAGTCTGCTCAATGTCTAGACTGAATACATTACTAGCTTCCTTGGAGTCATCAGTCATGGATTCCTGGTTCTGCTGTGACTGGGTGACATCTTTGAAGTCATCTGTCACAGACATCTCCATGCTGACTATGATCCCCATCCACTCCATGAGGCAGCTGAAGTACTCGGGGTGTATGTAGCAGGCTGAGCAGATCACAGAGTCCACTGCAGTCTTCAGAGTGGAGGAGGCAGGAAGAACAGCAGACCACTCGTACAAAGAGCTGGATAAAAACAAAGATATGGTTACAGTTTTGATCACAGTTTCTTCCCAATGGTACACTACTTTGGTATAGAAAACCTTTCAATAACTTTCAGACTAATTAGCGACTTCTTTAAGATATTTAATATAAAAAAAATGTTCTTCCTTCTTCAAAGAGTCAGGTATACAGAAATACACTGTAATTTAACTTCAACAATTTTGCAAAATTTCACTGTCTTACCTTAAAAGCTCCTTGGTCAAAATGTCCCCCAGATTGTAATTCAAAGTAAGCTCTTGGCTGTGCCAAAACACAGAGGCAATGCAGTGGATGTGAGCAGGGGCAGGGTTGGGCAACCCCTCTGCAGTCAGGGTTAGAGTGTCCCTGGGTGAGGGACGATACCCATCATCTGAGATATTGCCAATTTTCTGCAGAGCTACTCTGGCTGTGTCTCCTAGCCAATCAACAAGTGCCCTGATCCTTTCTGCTGTACCTGCATCTTGTGTCATACACAACTGATAGATGATGTCGATTGTGGAATCGTTAGCAACTCCATTGACTTTACCATGTAGAAGACTCTGGTCTATTACAGAAAGAATAGGTTATAAGAATAGGTTATATATCATATCTTCAACAATAGAATACAATGCCTGTGCTGAAGGTAAAGACAGTGTACAAGCTTTTTTCATGCAGTTTATACATAAATATAATATTTACAAATTGACAGAGCTTTATAGATGGAAAGAAATTCACCTCCAAACTTCCTCTTAGCTACTGATGATGAAACCTGTGATATGATGAAAGTGAAAGGCAAAATACTGGTATAATATGAATCAGCCTGCGTTACCATGTCTATTCCACACATACCTTGTTCACCAGAGACTGTATTTCTGAGTAAGTTGTCAAGAAGGGCTAATCCCATGTCAGTGCTGTGTAAGCCTATCTTGAGCAGCACTGCCTCTATATTTGAGGAGTATATACTGGTAGCCGGGGTGACCAGCAGTGCAGTACATGTGCTGAGGAGGTGAGGTGTGGGGGCAGCAGCAGCAGCGATGGGTTCAGCCATGGCCTCCACATGAGACAGGCAGTGGTGAAGCAGGCGCAGCCAACCAATACTGCAATTAAAATTGGGCTCATTGAAAATAAATATCATCTACATCAACCTCTATAAAATGGTTATAATGTCCATTCAACAGGTCTTTATTTTTCTATGTGAATATCAAAAGTATTTTCAAGTGCTCTCTACACTGGCAGTTTACCAGATAAGACTGGCAACCTACTTGATAATAAAATATAATTTCATTAAAAAAATATAACCTACCTTTTATTCAAAAATGACAAAAATGAACTTATAAACCAATGTTATATTATATTATAAATATTATAAATCGAATGTTTAAAATTACCTAGTTCTTGAAACAAAATCCTCAGAGGGAGCAAAGACATTAGGGTTCCTGTAGCTGCTGTCACCAAATGCTGTATACCCCATCAGTAGAATTTGCGACAGCCCAACTGTGGTGGAGTCCTTTGGCTTGTGAAGTCGGATGGTCACTGCTGTGGCTACCTCGGGCTTAAGGAGCTGTATTTTGATGAAGGTCAGTCCACTAGTGACCACTGGTGGACTGATGGGGACACTCTGCATTACGTCTCTACTGACCTCTACAGATACTGCTGCAGGACATGCTGGAACAGAAATTAAGGACTGTAGATTCAAATAGTCATCAAACATATTTATACATATAAAAGTCCAATATTTTTACAGTTTTTGTTAAGTTAAACCTACTTTAATACTATAACCCTGATTTCTTTTCAGTGCATATCTTTTTGCCTTATTGCAACAAACTAAATTCTTAGAGACAGAAAGTCTCATACAAATAAGTCTCATCATGCAATAATTAGATCATCATACATCACCTGATGACCAGGTAATGATATTAATCACCCTTCAAACTTTTCAATTCTCGTGTAATTATTATTAAAATACACAAACAGGCTATTTGTAAAACCACATAGTCTATTTCTAGTCTATTTCTTTCTAAACACACCATTATCAGTAACATATGTATATACTTACTAGCTAGGGAAGTTAAATGTGGCTGTATCTGTACTTCTTTCAGCAGTACAGCACATGGGAGCTGTATGGTAAGATCAACCCAGGCTTCATCAGGGTAGTAATGGTAGGACCAGGCTGCTGACCGGGCTCTCCTGTGTGGTGGAGACGCCTGGACCAGCACCTCGGCTGGACTGGCTGTAGGACTGCTGGAACTGATGGAACCTGAAGAACAATACCAGAGAATACTGTGACAGTAGTTAACATACTATGTCAGTACCCATTAAACATTGTCCATAGACATAATAGAAAGTGTCAAAATATAAATGTTCATAAAACTCACATTTATAACAGGATTTCAAATGGAAGAAAATCCACCTTGAAATTTTAGAAAAACATATCAATGGATTTTAATTAAGATCTATTGTTGTAGTTGGTTTCAATTGGATTGATGGTGTACTTAAGGTATTGTACTCTGGTTGAGACAATCCATTAGGGGTTATATACAAATTCTTATCTAATTCTCAGGAAATGGATATAATAAACGTGTAGATTAAAAAAAAAACTCATTAAAAATGGATATTTTGACCACTTGAAAAAAAATGATCCTCCTGACTATCCAGATTAGACCAGAGCTGATGTTTTTTTAAACCTTTTTTCAACATAATAAGCATCCTCTGAGAACTATATCATGCTGTTCAAGACAGGGCACCGTAGTTGTACAACAGTCTCAGAATTATTTTCAAATTCAATTTTATTTTGTAAAATGGACGGCATAACCTTTAAATTAACCTTTGAACACTGTCATCACAGATAACTAGAGGCACTGTATTACCTAAAGGAGCAAAGTTCTGTAATCCCTCAGCAGCCTCAGTGTCTGTGCTTCCTCTTGACTTGGACAGGTTGTAGCTGGCCATTTTACTGCTGCCCAGGTACTGCATGATGGTGGAGATGAGACTGGGACCTGTGCTGATCACACGCCTGTTACTCTGGACCAAATTCCTGCAGATCACTTCTACACCTCCTGGAAACAAAGTCACCACATGCCTATAAGTATTAAGGGTCTTAAATTTCATTTCTTAGATTAAATGCTGCAGGCTAACGATATTTTTAAAACAAGTTGTTGATTGAAGAAAAAAAAAATTTATTTGTGAAATTCATACATTAAAAAACATATGCTGATGTAATAATGCTAATTAGAAAAAAGAAAATATTTTCAATGTCTCTATTGTTTATGTCCAAATTAATAATTCAATCACTTACCAAATTCCAGGAATTTACTTAGAGCTTTATCACAGTCCAGCACTCTTAGAATGAACCAGAGCAAGGGCTCAGAGAGCTTGCAAATGGAGTGTGCACCAGTTCCTCTGAACCCAGATGACAGGTACTTGTACATGGGTCCCACTATTAACTGCATATCTGTGGCCTTCTTGTTCAGTGTGCACAGGATCTGAAATATTCCATCTCCCACTGAGAGCACGTCCAGCCCCGTGAATGTGTCCTGCATACTCCCCTGCAGTCCAGAGGTACACAAGATGGTGGCCATGGTGCTGCTGTTACAGAAACTCAAAGCTTCCAACAAGTGAGTCATTATTTTCTCATGTGTCAGAATGACATCTGATAGGGTGTGTTCCTTCCTGTTCATATCAGGGCCATGGGAGCATGCTTTCTTTGGCTGTGGAGCTGTAGGTGTGTTAGCCTGAGAGGAGGCAGTCTCAGTTTTCTGTTCATCAGTCTCTGAGCTTTTCTCTTCATCGGACTTGGACCACGCTTCTATGGGTCTAGCACCCTCTAAAACTGTTGTGTTATTACCTGCTCTAGATTGACTCAGCTTACTGGAGTCTGTCAGCGGTTCTTCAATGACATCCATAGGCTCCTCCTCTGTTGTACTTCCCCTAGAGTTCCGTCCTGGCAGCACAACCTGTATCAGTTTATTGACCAGTTTCAACAGGCTACACATCAGCACATCACGGTTGGCCTCTCCCACCATTGACTTAGAGTCCCCTGGTCTCAAGAGACTGGAAAATAACCCACCAAAACACGACCTCGCACTGACCCCTCCGTCTGATTGGCTCTTACACAGTACCCTCTCCTGACTGAGGATGTGATGGTGGACCAGGACACTGATGGACTCTATAACACTGATGGCATTGCTGATGTCCACACTGTCATACTGCTGGTCAAGCACATAGTCCAGCAGCTTGCACTGGGCATCCAGTGGACCATGGCCACAGTGGAAAGCACCTCTGAAGTCAAAATAATGTCATATGAAACACATATGTAGGTAACTTTATTTCAAATAATGGAGAATATCAATGAGCAAATGAATATCTAAGTCAGTAATGATGTGAAAGTGATCATGGATATAATGAAATATCAATCTAAGTATATCATTTTTTTTCAAAATTTTGCAAGGTATTTTGTGACTCTCTTAACATACTACTTGAAAGATATTTTCATAGGCTTTCTAGTCTTGAAGTACCCACCTCTCTGTTGTAAGCATGTACACTAACTTCAGCATCAGCTCCTTCAAGTGTTTTTCATTATCCTCAGCTGTGCGTAATTGGAGCCGTACCAAAAATTCATGGAACATTTTGGTGGCAAAAGGACCCACCTGAGATAGGAGAAAACAGTTTGTAATACACCTTCATATTTCAATTTTAAACATGTATGTCATAAAAAAAAATACTTCTGACATTGAATTTTAACAATTTGATAAAGAATATTCTATTCAAACCTGATTACCATTAACATTCATTCCAATAAAAACTGCCAGGAATCATCTACAAACTAGTCAGGAAAGTGCTATCACCTACCTGAGTATCCTGCAGATTGGACAGCACAGGACCCTGGTAAGACACTCCAGTTAAAAACTTAATCAACACAGGCATTAGGTGATCGTCTGTGACCACTACAGAGGCAAGCCACCTCTCTGCTGGCAGGGCAGGTGCCGTAGCTTCCAGTTCCCTGTGGTGCTTCACATTCATCAACAGTGTTAACACCTGGAAGAACAGGGTCCATGTCCTGACTGGGACATTGGGCTCATAGGCCAGAGCTGTCAGCAGGCTAGCCACTGCAGCCTGGCTCAGAGGGATCATGGGAACACGGCTGGGGTCAAAGGTTGACTGAGTGGTCTCCTCCTGAGAGCTGTCGTCATTGAAGATGAGCCAGAGCTGAAGGATGGTGTCCAGGTTGACACGGTGACGGTACAGCTGCATGAAGAGGTTGTCAAAACACTGGCTCAACATGTCATTGGATGGAACATTCTGAAACACAAGGAAGATGGCATGTTTGAAATATTCTTATGTCAATAACTCTCATGCCAATTTTAAGTGCTGTTAATAAGCCTGATATAATTATGTCGAGATAAATATACTGGGTGAAAAGCAGTTGTTTCCAACACTCGAAAGCTTATCGAATAATTGAAAAAAAAAGGTTTTCATCAAATGCTGCAAAATGCATTTTTAGTCCCTGCACTTAACAGAATAGCAAGGAATTATAAAACTCTTTAATGTAAAACTGAAATCTAATACTTAAAGCACATTATTTTGGTTAGAGAATTCTTTTTAAAATCTATCCACCCCACCTGATATTCTCCATAAAAGCTGGTCTCTGAGAGCTGTTCATCATCTGTGGACACAGCCCGTGTGTTCTGAACTGTGCTCTGGGGGAATGGCAGCTGGGGAGCAGGGGGGATGACAGAGGAGATGGCACTCTGAACAGATTCTGCCTCCAGAGACTGCATCACCTGTAATCACAGATCAATAAACCCGTCATCTCCTTTTACATCTCCCCATTATATGAAGAATTATGCAAGCATTATGTATAATTACATATAGGTAGTTCAGGTTATCTAATACTTTGAAACCCATTTCTCAGTTCTGGAAATATCTGATAATATTGGGCAAGAAAAGTTGTACGTATCATCAGACATCTTAGTTAGACACTAAAACCCAGAATTGAAAATAGAGCCCTTTGTCAAATAGAGTCCCCCCCCATGACAAAGATTCCAGTTCACATTAATTTGTATCGATAAGCCTTATCCTAGATTCTGACCCAAGTGTACACTAATCCTAAGCTGTGCAAATGTAATGGCAGAATGTCTCTCTTTTACGCAGATCCTCAGTTTGTTGAGACAGGGCATTGTGAAAACCTACATAATATTTCAATCTTAATACAAGAAAGTTATAGGTCTGTATTCGTACCCTGAGTTTAAGCTCAGCATTCCAGTCTACACGGAACTCCAGTCTGGCATCCATTGCGGCAGATGTCCCCTTGGTCATGGCTCCAAGGCGGGGGTCTGGACCCGACAGCCAATCTTTCCCTTTCTTCATTCTGTTTAAATTTGTTGACATCTTTATTTTTGATACTTTGACATTCTTTTTGTTCCCTTCCATCATGTTCTTGAACATACCCAGGCTCAAGGCTTTTCCAGCACTATCAAATAATCTGAAATTGTATTCAAAGAATTTACATCTGTGTTAATATTCAATGTAAGATAATGCTGAAGACATAAGGTATGGTCTGAATTTGATTTAGATTTCCTCTATTCTACCACAACTACAATTGAATTGCTTACATTTTGAATTATTAAGTGAACATTGTTCAATCTACAAACAGTGATGAAAGATAGCAGTGAATTCCCAAGCTGGAAAGAAAAATTCATGTATGACAGTCAAGCAAGATTTAATATGTCAACATACACAAATTTCTAAAATCTGCATTCACCACATTTAAAGAAGTACATATGAGAGTCAAGGTGTCTAACCCATGTGATAACTTTTTACACTATATGAAAATACTTACATTTTGTACCCATCATCCTGCAGGGATCCTACTTCTGGGGGCGTGGCATCTCCCTCTAGGGGAGGCATAGGCATGGGGGGTAGTAACTCTGGTGGGGTAACAGGCTCACTGTACCCTGGTCCATAGAGATCATCATAGGTGAGGGAGAACCCCTGGTCTTCAGAAATATCCATGGGGATTTCCTCTATTGTGCCCACTACAGGGATAGGCTCAGATGGAACGGGGTATGCCTCCACCATGTCTGCTCCTGTAGAAACGGAACATAGTGTCACTTTTTTATGTAAATGATAAAACATAAATAATATTTTAAATACTAGACAAAGGATAACATAATCAATGCATTTTTCATAACTTAATGCATTGTTTGTAGAATTAGATTAATTAATTGGGTGTTGTTAACTATGCACTTATTGTGAAATTTTGAATTTCATATTAAGAGTTGTTATGCTTAAATTTGAGTAAAAACATGAACATCAAAAATCACAAGCTACCCATGATTAATAACAAAGACCAACAACTGAAATGATGTAAAAAAGTAATATCGTGGATAACGACAAACTTCAGGTCTTTATTTACCTGGCCCACCTGGTCCACTGCTGCCACTGTCATCTATCTGTGGTAGACTGGCACTGTGGTGTATGGAGTCATCAGTCTCTGTCATGGCAGCTGACAACTCCTCCTCTGTCATACTGGAGGAGCCACCATCTCCTGGTGGGTACAGACGCTCACCTGGACAGAATATACAGGGCATTTATGAACCATTTTACAAAATATCTGAATAATATATTAATTTCAATGTACTTGGCAATTTACAAAGTTTTTAAGCGCTAAGCAAAATCCTCATGGTTCGAAGTAAAACTTTTAAGTCAATTTTTTTTTCAACAAGAAAAAAAGCACTTGAGGTCCTTTTTTAAAACTGTAAATGAACCAATAGTTCCGCTATTTGGTTGACAAACTTTTCAAAATATATATGTAACTGGCTATAATTTACTGCCTGACTTACCATCTAGAACATCCTGTATCATGCAGGTAATGGCGTGTCCAGACCAAGGTCCTCCCCAGGTCAGGTTGCCATGGTTATGTTCTAGATTGCTACATAGTAACAATAGCTGCTCTAGCTGTTCCTGGGTCATAGCCTCTGACAGAGTGATGGCTGGGCGTGTTGAGTTGGTAATACGTGCAACAACCTTTTAATAAATAGTCAATTTCAGTGTCATGTCATTGATAAAACTCTTAAGCAAATGCAAACAAATGCTGCTGAAAAAAATATCCCAATAAAGTCAACTTTTACTGTTTTTCCCATCTCATTACAAAACATCCTTTATATAAGATAACAATTAAGTACCCATTTAACTTTTTACCAATCTAATTTATGGCAACAAAAATAACGCAATATGTTTTAATAGCCTATGCCATCATCATGAATAAATGATTCAACTATTATATTACCCTGATTTCACCCTACCTTGCATGCAATCAGGAACAGGTCAACATTGCATGTGAAATCCATGGACAGTAATAGGGCTATGAGACCCCTGACTACAGGGAGACATCTCTCCCTAGGTAACACCATAGAGTTCTCTGTGTCATGGCCATCCTGGTCTCCCCTCACACCATTGCTGTCATCCTTTGGCTTCTTTCTCAGCACCTCTGCATCTATTCTCCTGATCTGCATGATGTCCTTGAAGTGCTGAGAATGAAATATGCATACATGAAATCTAAACCACTTGCTATAAATTACAATGTTTTATCAATCATACTTGAGCTTTCTTTAACCAAACTTTACTTATTTCTATAGATTTCTCCATCCTTTGCACAAAACTTTTTTCAGTCATTATCATTTTTTCACTTCTGTGGAATGCAATTATTAAGGATGAAAAAAAAGCCAAATTATCCTTCCATGAAAAATCTAACAGAGGCATGTGACCAAAAGATTTTTCATTTAACCAGCATTTCTTAAAATTTCTACACAACTGCATATCATGTAAATACCTTAGATGAGTATTTCTTCAATTCCTTTATGAACTCCTGTTCCTGCTGTTTGACTAAGACTTCTGCCTCTTTGGAAACAGCTGCTGCAGCCACCTGGGTGGCAAGGAACTCTTTCTTGGCTTTCTGAAGCTCTATTAGTTTAGACTTATGATGCATTAGCCTCTTAGCCAGCTGCCGTCTGTACAGCTTTGTCCTGAACCTGGGTGTGGGTTTGAAGTCTGCATGCTCCATGGCCGTGTCTCCCTGGATGAAGTCCCAGCGTGCTGACAACATGGTGCCTGGATAGAACAGATAGGTGGAGAGTGCACTTTACTAACTGCATTAGAAAAGCAGGCCAGGCATTGACTTGATACGCTGGTCTAATATACATGTGTCTATTAACCTTATTTAAATCTATCCAAAAGCTGTTATGGCACCCCTTTAAATTTTGTTGTTTTTTTTTCACAGTTAAATACCATGTTATTTCTCAATTCAAATTGAAATTTGCTGACACTAAGCAGGAATCTTAGTGGTTTGACAAAATCTCAAGGCACAATTTCAACAAAGAGTGAGAGAAACATCTAAAGCTTAGTTCAAATCTTCATGTACCATTTTCTTTTCCAGCATCATCGTTCTCTGCCCCTGCAGAACCTTTGGTGCCCTCATCACTTCCTCCATCACCTGGTTTACCATTACTGCCCCCATTATGACTGCCACCATTGTTACTGCTACCAGCAGCATCCATAGTTCTGGACAAGAACAGCAGCACCCAGCCAACTAAATCCATATCCAAAGAACCTGGATTTAAGTAAATGGTATGTCAACTGTGCAGTGTTTTTTTTTCCTTTTAGAGCATTTACTCATATCAAAATACTTTCTTTGTAAAAGTGAGCATATTAAGAAACATTCTAATGTTTTGTATGTAAAAGTAAGTAAGTTTAAAACTATCATGAGTAAAATTTGAAAATCCACCTTGGCTGTTTCTGTAGTACTCTCCCTGTGAGTGTAGAAGAGGAGAGAGAATCTTGCCCAGCAATGTCAGCAAACTCTCCAACACATTGCTGGCTGAGGTACTGGTAAGTGCCTTCTGTCCCAGAGCTGTCAGCAGTACAAATATTCTACAACGTAAAGATAGTGGAGCTCAGTACATAGATGTATCAATAAGCTCCATCAAAATTAAATAAAACAATGTTCTCTTTAATTTCATACATCAGTAATAGTTGATCCAAACCTTATCTTAAAGCGAAGTAATTGGCCGAGGCACTTGCAAAAGATAATTTTTCTCTTCATCTAGTATAATGCATTTTTCTGAAATACCCATGCAAATCTATTGCACAAGTCAATAAATAAATGTTCTACACAGTCTAGCCAAACCAGAATAGTTTCTCACTACTGTTCATCACTGACCTGTCCTGTGGAAATACAGCTGTAAGGTCGGAGCTGAACAGCTGCTGGAGCATATTCCCTAAAAACTGGCCCCACCAGCTCTGCCTCCCTCCTACACGCACCAACAACAACCCTGCATGGATCTGCATGCGGCGTGTTCCAAACACACAGATGTGCTTGAACAGAGCTTCACACGTCTGTGGGTTAAAGTTCCTGTACAGTGACAATGGAGGATGAGGGATGGTTGGCTTGGACCTGGTCATACTGAGCAAGCAGTCTAGGAGCAGCTCTGTGAGGACACGCAGCTTGTCTGTAGACACCTGTCTCAGTACTGTATTAGTATTACTGGATGCTGCAGGCCTGGACTGCTTCATCCCTAAGGCCTTCTGTAGTCTCTCTATGGCTCTCTGGGCCAGGTTCAACTGAAGCTGTAGCTGCGTACAGTCATTATATGCCTGAAGTATTCTAGCATCTTCCTCCACTTTCTTTCCCTTTCTTAAATAGTACTTTGCATGGCCACTGACCATGGGAGGAAGATCCAAGGAGGCTACCAGTGACTGTAACCTAGTGCAGGCCAGGCTATACCTACACTGAATATCTTCTTGAAGGGTTATAAACATGCTAAGCTGAGACAAAATTTCTGACTGGTCTACAGTCAATGGTTGATTGAGAGTAGAGAGTTCACTGGCTACAACAGAGGGAACTGAATCCAAACTGTACTCCCACGGTAAAATAAAACTGTGTCCGTAGAAAGTTCCTATGGGTATGCGAGACCTAGAGGTACACCTGGGGGTGTTGCCGCCATATCTGCCCACTGTGGTGATCTGCAGGGAACAAAGCAGGATATGTTTTATGAAACTATTAGATGGCATACGTCTTATCTTTTCCTCACAATACTAGTTCTGTGAATTAAAATTAAAATACTCAATGTGCTTTTGCTCTTCAACTGGATTTGTTTAGGTTCTAAAATCAATACATAAAAAATTCAGCTGTTAAAATCTCCCATGAAACTCTGCCTTACCTTCAAGTACCTACAGAGAGGTGGTGGTGAAAGGTCATTCATGATTAAAGACCTCAACCCAATATCTGAGGCTATCACCAGTCTCATGCCATCAATCTCCTCTCCGTGGATCCACACGTCTATGGACAGAGAAGCTAAATCTCCACAAGCTGGAATTACCACATCTGTGAGCAGTATGGGTTTACCAAAGTCTAACACTACGAATCTCCGTGCTCCTGAGTGCATGCGTTCTATGACCAGGACGTGCTGCGAGGCAGGGTGGAGGAGCTGGTGACCAGAGGACAAATGGGATGAGGTTTTCTGGCCTCCTGAGAAATTGTTGTCTGGTTTGCCACTAGAGACCTGTTAAATTTCACTGACATTTAATTATGATAATATGAACTTATTTTAAAATGCTGCAATTAACGTAATCACTTTAAGGTCAAATTCTACAAGTTTTCATTACTTGCTCAGTACCTTTCATCATAAGTCATTAACAGTTCTAGTTTTTCGTACTGACATCAGTATCAGATGAGCAATCTCATAGTTTGACATGATAAGCGCTTACATATGCTTTGATAATTATCATTTCAATAACATCAGACACAAACTTACTTTAATGACATTCTTCCCTCCTATTTTCTGGTCACTCTGAGGGCCAACACCATTACTGGCCAGTTTTTCTGCCAAGTATGCCTCATTTGGTGGTGTGACTGGTGGTGTCATAAACAAAGGGGTAGTCTTCGGCGTGGGCGTGGGGGGAAAGATATCAATCTGGGGCTGCGCAGAGGCAGCGGCTACGGACTTCTGAGTCTCTGCCAGTTTCTGCTTCAGTTTCAGTGTCTGTTGCTGCACCTTGAGCAGCTGTGCTTGTTTGTGTTGTGAGAGTGAGAAATGCTGTTCAGCCGACACCATGGCTGTTGAGAGAGACTGGAGGGCTGCCCCAGCTGCTGCTGCTGCTGCAGACACAGTGGCCAAGCTGTCACCAAAGTTGATGGTACCAGACAACCCTGAGGTGTTGGAAAGACTGTTGGTGCCTGCTGTAGCTGTAGAAGGAAAACATGAAAAGATACTGAAATTATGTATAACCACGTTTTTGCTCATACAAGCAAGTTTAAAGTTATATCCTCTATCTATTTAACATTTACAATTTGACATATCTACTCAAAATAGCAATATTAATCAGCACTTGGTATAAGGTCTATACTAAGCTATTAACTGTCTTACTTATATCAGCCTTTTCCATTCTAGTTCCATCACTGGTTGCATGACAAGTGAAGTGCAGAGGCTCTACTTCTAACAAACTGTTAACTATAGTATGGCCTCCCATTTCAGACCCCTGTAGAAATTAGAATAATTGTAACATAAAAATGGCAACAAATCATCGTTTTACATCAAAACAATCCGTTATCATTTCCAAAAAATGCTCTTAGGGAAAAATTTATCATTCAGCTTTCAAAGTAAAAAGGTGAGGTGCATTTCACCTGTAAAGTCAAACATTTTTATTTCACATTCTGGTCACATACAATAAGTCAAACACTGGACAAATGCACAACAATAACACATCAGTATCAAAAGCCACAAACCTGCGTTCCAGACTTGATAGTTTTATCTGGATCTAAGTTGATGAGGTCCTGAAAGTCTACCTCTTCGTATCCCTGGGGAGAGTTGCCAGAAGAAGAAGAGCTGGTGGAAGCACCAGTCATGGATGCATATGTTGTTGGTTGTGTGGGCTTCAATTGCTGGATGGGCATTTCCACATCAAACAGATCAGGATCACAAGGGTGACCATAAAGACCAAACCTTTTTAAAGTTAAGATAAATGATGTACTTTAATTACAGAAACTTTGCGTAAAATAGGCTCAAACTAAATAAAGATTATATTTCATTAGATTAACTATAGAAATGTACAAACAGACTAAAATACATTTATGACGGCATTTTTACAGACAGATACTCAACATTTATAAACATCTGTTCATTAAAGACTTCATACAAAGTACATGAAAAACTTAAGTGGCTGTACACACACCTTGACTTCAGAAGGGCATCTAAAGGTGTCACCCGTAAACTGTACTGCTTGGCTGCAGAGGAGAGCATCTCGGCCACCATCTGGCCAGTCTGAGAGATATCCATGAACTTCACTCTGTTCAGCACTGTGAAGAACCAGCGCAGAGCACCTGCTGAGTGTACCAGTGGAAGTAATGGGAGACAGTTTAGCAGGGCTGTCAGCAGGGCAAAGCTGAAGGCAGGGGCCAGGTCAGGATCCAAGGACAACTCTGTACACCTGGAACACAGAACATATTACCATAATAATAATAATAATAATAATAATAATAATAATAATAATAATAATAATAATAATAATAATAATAATAATAATAATAATAATAATAATAATAATAAATTTAAAAAAAAAACTTTATCCTTTCAGTCTAACATAGCCAATATGTTGGTCTTACCAAACACTGCCATTTCTGTTTAATATATCATGCTAAATAACGATCATCTAAGGTATATGTATAGTGAGGATGAGGTAAATGAAAGACAAGTGTCAACTTACTCCAGACACAGAGCTACAAGTTTGGCACACTTGTGAGCAATACTTCTCCCTCCCTCAATGAAGCAAGCCTTAATCAGGCCTTCCAGGTTAGATTGCACAGTAAACACAAAGCTGTTTTGCTCTAATCTGAAACGAGATAGAAAAGCAGACTTATATGAGGCATACAAATGGATCCACGTTTCTTTAGCATTGACCCATAATCCAAACCAACAAAACTACAAGCATTAAGTAATTTTTGAGTTTTTGTAAAATGACTATACCTTTATTTTATAGCCTTTTGTTCATATGAAAGCACCTGAGGAGCCATAAGACTGTCATTCAAATAAATATTAATTTCATAATGCTTTCAAAATTTAAACAAAGGGCTATCCCAATATTACACCAAGACACCTCTCTCTATAAAAGAGAAATTAATTTAGAACAAAGAGATACCTTTTCTCAGATTCTCTAATGTGAATGGCAGCAATCCAGCAGAGTATGTCCAGAGCCATGACCTGCCTGTGTTCTAGGCTAGTAGTGATAGGAATACTCTCCTCATCAGCTCCACAAGCTGCCAGCAACAGGTGCTCATGAAAACCAGGCATTTCCAGCATGGTGCAACGCTGGAGTCTGCAAGACATCATAACACATACAACATTGCGATCACAAAATAACAATGCAAGAAAGCAAAATATGCATAAATATGGCAGCAAAATTTGTAAAATCCCTATATAGCAGTTTTTGTGCTGTGATATTTCCCCCAGCTTCCAAGGCAGGAGATGAATACAACAGCAAGTGCACTATACTAGCATACACATGTACACTATACAAGGTGATACTCTGAATACTCAAATGCATTCATATGTTTAACACTGGAATTGAAGGAGCATGATATCTGATGATTTGTATAAACATGTTACCTCAATTACAAACTTCATACCTGTCTTTAGGAACAGTATTTCTTTTTGTCTTCCTAATAGTAACAGAGATCTCTGCCAGCCAGTCACAACCCTTGATGTTTTCCAGTTTCTGCTTTGATGTTTCCCCTGCCTGGCCTGACTTACTGGACTTGCTGGGAGCTCCACCAAAGAAAAACTGATCCCAAATGGAGTGGAAGTTCTTGTCTGCCTCTTTGTCTTGCTGAGTGACTGGAGCATTCCTTACATCAGTCTAAAAATAAAGGAGAAATCCAATTTATTCACACACAAAAATACTCATTTGCTTTGTTAATTATTGTTTAAATTTTATATTATGTATTTTAATTAAAAAATTTTAATTTATAATCCTTGCAGTTATATCATTATTTGCCTATGGCTAAAGAAAACTGAATTCAGTAGTTCCTAGCTCCTGTACCTTTTCTTCCTTCAGGGCTTTGATATGAAGCAAGAAAGACCTTGACTTGACCTTCAGCAACTTAGAGCTGGTCAAGGTGATAAGTCCAGATTTCCCAGAGAGGTCCACATGGCTCGCTAGGTCCACTGGACCACACAGTATCTCAGCATGATGCTTTCCAAGAAAGTCAGGATCATGAACGTTATTGACACTACTTAGCTGAACATCCTTGTCATCTTTCTCCCCTACAGTGTCCTTTGGCACGGAGCCCTCCCCTCCTTTCTCAACGCTAAAATTGATCTTATCGTCCACTTCAGTTTTCCCTTTGTCCATGTCACAATTTTCAACCACCTGCTGCCCTATGTCTGTGATATTCTGCTTCAAGAGAGTGACCTGTATATTGGGTAGAGAGGTGCACACACTGAGGAGGTTGAACTTGATGTCCACATGGCCTACAGTGCAAGGTCTGGGCAGGACAAGCTCAAATAAATGTTCATCACAGCTACCTCTGAAATGAAATAATAGAAAAATTAGTTTTCATGTGATTTAGAATTGTATAATTAAAACTTTGTTTCTCATTTTAATTACAAAAGTTTGAAAAACTATGCATTTCCATTTTAGTGTTTTCCAAATGAAAAAAATCAATCAAGTGGCAATTACTTTTCATGCTGTAATCTCCAGCTCCTGGTGTGCTGCAGTGCCTCCCCCTGTTGTTGGAGATGCTGAGGGTGGCGCCGGTGCTGCTGTTCTTGTTGTATTTCCTGCCAACAGGGCGGAACTGTTGCTGTGAAGCGGGGAATCAAGTTCTCAAACTGTGTCAATTCATGCAGTGTCATCAATACTTCTGTTGTCAGTGGGTGCTTCACTAGCAAATCATTGCCTAAAACAAAATAGAATTCAGCATGAACAATACAGAAGCAACAATTTCTTATATACAACTAGTTTTCTTAAGTTCAACTCATGGCCTTATTAATCAAATACAATTCTCTTACAAGAAAATAGTAAAGAAGTCTTGGCTATTTAACTATGGAGAAAACACATCTTATTCTTTATGTCCAGTCAGAATGAACACTTAATGTAAATCTGGATAATACAAATGAGACTGCATATAAGGAGTTCAGTTATTACCAGAGCCCTGTAAGCAATCCATGGATCCATCTACACTATCCTGGCTGAAGGGCCTCACTGGGGAGCTGTGCTCCACCATGTCTGTCTCCGAGAACTCAGGATCTTTGGGAGCCACTTGGAAGAATGAAAGTTTTCCATGTCCAGTGCAGGCACACAGTCTTTCCATACCTTACAGGAATTTATCAAAATAAAATCGATTTGAAATATGGACAGCAATGAATATTCATTCAAAGAGATTAACAGTTAACATTCAATAACAGTGATTACTTATTTGAATATAACTGATATAAAGCATTTAAATAAAAGAGAGAACCATCTTTTGATTAAATTAGAAATGATTATGGTTAACTTTTTACCTGTACAGTATGTGAGTGAAACAAACTTCTGTCCTTCATCTGAAGATTCAAATGACTCAAGCACCTTAAAGTCAGACAGTCTTATTATCTTCAACTTCCCCATCTCCGTAGATATAGCAATCTGCCCTGGCAAGTTCTCAGAGTAGCTTTTATGTATAGTCACAGTTTCCTTATTATTCATATTGATAAGCTCATCCTCTTCTTGAGCTGAAGATATATCTAAAGGCAACGACAATACTGCTACCACTGCGTCCCTTGCATCAGGTATATAAAATATTTTTCGTGGGTCTGTTTCTAAAGTTGGAGTTTGTGTGTCAAAGTTGATTTTATACAGCAAAATGCACCCGCCAGCTGCCTTATCCTTCTGACTGGATTTTTTCTCTTTCAAAACTTTCCCGTCGCGAGTCGTTGTTTCTGGACTGGCGTGTTTCTGAGCCACTTGTGTTGGCGCTACAACTACCAACAGGTGATGATTGTCTGACACAGGGAGTATGTGGGTGACACTAAATCCCGCCTTGGACACGGGCTCTGGAAGAGGCACACACTGCACCACACGACCCTCTTTGCTATCCTCCATCAAGTCCAAGTTTTTGATACTTGTTTGGTTTCCACTTTGAAGAGGATGACAGTTTTCATTGCCTGTATCATTTGTTGTTCCACTTCCACCAGGTATGGGCTTTTCTTCACTTATGTTAATAATTTCAGGTTCCTCATCCACCTCCATGATCTGTGGCATGTACATCTCCGATACAGTGCTCTTGGCTGAACCTGGCGCACTTTTCAGTTTCTTAACTATAGGTCTAGTCACCACTACTTTCTGTATGTCATGTATAAGAATACATGGTATAAATGGATTTTCTGGTTCTTCATCCTGACTCTGTTCACTCAGAATATCAATACTAGTGTCTGAGCTCAAGGCTTCATTGACTAAATTCATTGCCTGTACGTCCATGGTATCAGGTATATCACAGGTTAATGTAGTTCTCCTAATCCCGACACCACAGACCAAAGCTGCCTTTGTTAGTTTGTCCTTGCTAGGTGCCGAGGCTGCTTGATGGGCGTTGTTTTCTGGGTCACCTATCACACTCACTGACGACACCACTACATCTCTGGATATTCTGGATCGCTTCACAATGCAATCTAATAGAAAAAATTTTCAAAAGTATAGAATACTTTTTGAATTTAATAGAAGCAACATGCTCATTTCTAAAACCCATCTTGCATAATCAGTCTTTCAAATTATTCTCTCCCTTTTTTATTTCATTATTATTTTTACTATTTCTGACACAAAAAAAATAAGTATAGTAGATGGTTAATTGCATCAATGTTTACATTTCAGACATTTTGTAAAACAAGATAATATTAGAAACAATTCCCTCACAACTATTCAATTAAGTAGCTTCTTACTTTCTGTCAGTGGCACACTTTCTATTGGCAAGGAGACAATTTCTCCAGCCTCTGGTCCAGGTCCTGTCATACTGTCTTCCTGGATGGAGTCCGTCTCCAGTAGTGAGGATGGTAAACTATCTGTAATGGGCTCCTTGCATGCACCAGACTGAGCACTATTCAAGAGTGAGAGGATAAAAGTTTAGAGCAAAGAACATGAATGCCTATTACATAAGCTATAAAATATTACACATATATAATCTTAATGGGAACTAAGAAAAAGTTGTATCAAATGGCAGTGAAGAAACTAGTTTCCAGTCAATCAGAATAGCTTTCATACATTTTCCTTTCATCCCATCACATTAGGGACAGTTAACTTTCAAGTACTTGGGAATAAACATGCTTCATTTTTCTCACCTCTGAGTTACTATTGCACTTGTTTCATTGGCTCCCATGGTTACTTTAATCAGGGGGTCACCAGGGTCAATGTTTAATTCAATATGTTTCTGGAAAACATAACACTTTGAGCATTTGGTATATGGCACAAGGAGGTGTGAAAATAAACAGTAAGTGTAAATTTGTTTTGTTTGTGAACAATGAATACATGGTTGTCAAACTGGTTTAATTCTAGTTTTTCCCTCAAAAGTATATTTCAACCAAAATATGGTAAACTGGCAAAAATAATGACCTTTTTCTTTGGATATGGAAAATTGTTTAATCACAAAGCACAAAATATGTATATGTTAGCCTCAGCTTTGAGTATTGTGAAATATCAATGCGTTATACTTTGGTGTCATAACTCAACTTTCTAAAAGAAATTCAGCACACACTATAACAAAGACATTTGTTAATGATGAAGTGGACAAACCTTCATCTGGCAGCCAATGTCCCAGACTATGACATAACCGTGTGTGGAGGAAGTGGCCACCAAGTTATCACATGATGTTGTACTGATGCATTTCACCTGAAACAAAGAAAATATTGAAACACTTCATTATTATCTCCTCCAAGGAGGTTATGTTTTCACCCCTGTTTGTTTGTCTGTTTGTCCTTCTGTCATCAATATAACTCAAAAAGTTATGGACCGATTTTGATGAAATTTTCAGGAACTGTCAGAAGTGGGCCCAGGAAGAGATGATTAGTTTTTGGTGGTGATCCAGATCAATAAACAATCAATAATAATCAAAAATTGCTGCCTTGTTATATGTGTGATTATGATGCATAAATTTACTTGTAGAGTGAATCGCATAATTCATGTCCAACATGATCAACGTTGCTTCTGTAAATAAATTTGCACCTTTGCTATAACTATGCACTTCACCTGTTATAAAAAAATTGAAACATCAGATACTCATAAATTTGACCAGTGTTATTTCTTTAAAGCATTTATTCTTTTCTCATGTACTGAATTATGAAGCAAATGCATTCTTTTCCTCAAATATACTGTATTTCATAGCTGTGACTAAGTTCTCACCTTTTCTTGTGATATACCATGCACCTGTGCTGGCTCTGTTGCATAAGTCACTGGAAAATTAGAAAATGATCAATAATGTCTGTATCTAAGACCTGTTGGTATTCTGCCAAACTTTCTTCTTCTCCACCATTTTATATCCATTAATAATATACTTTACCAATATAGATATGTAGAAATGCTGAGGACCACTTTGAGAAGAAGAAGCACCTGGCAACTATCAGAATCCAGCCACACACAACATGTGCTGGCGTCAACCCAAAGGTGATCAAATGACAATGAAATTAATGCAAAACAGAATAATAAATGTAAAATATCATTTGCACTTCTTATATTAGAAAACTGAAATGGTTAACTCACCACTTAGTGGCACATTCTGTGTAAACTGTCCCTTCACAAATGGACACCCAGGAGAGTGGCGCTCATGTTCAGACCTACAGAGGTTTCAATACAATTAATGACACATAAATCAATAAAATTTCACAATCTATTTTTTTACTTTAAAGATTTATATAGTATTGCAGTGGGCTCTGTATGATATAATTAATACGTTTCAATATGTTACACTGTACATTCATTTTCATCAGCACATACTGATTTAGAAGTTTCAGAAATGAACTAGCTGGAATTTAACATATGTTATGCTAATGCTAATTTTATGCTGTAATAGAACCTGACTGTTATAAATTAAAGGATGCCTCTCATAAAAGAGTTAAACACAAAAAAATCTTCTGTGAAAAGAACAAAAAGGCCATTAGCACTTCAATGATGTCCATAAAAACATTAATCACTGTCTACAATCTGCTTACCAAGGTTCATCTGTTGGTTCCCAGCACACTAAACATACACTACACGTAAAACACATTGCTCTGTCATCTCCTACAGAATTGGGCTGGTGGTAAAAACCTGCCTGTGCCATAGGCTCTGGTAATGCCCACCTGTTAGTGTAAATTTACAGGTTTTATCAATACAGTAACCAATATGGTCCACATATTTCAGTGATATTACCTTGTACATTGGAAATGATCATCAAATGAAAACCATACCTTCAAGAAGGGCATGTTCTTGTAACTTTATTTTCCAATTCCAGACTGACTAACTTTTTATATATATATATAAATGTACAACACACTCACTTGTAATTCATATGTGGCCATGATGTAAACGATGCCCGTCTTGCAGCTTCACTATACATCATCGACCTATCAATGGGACCTGCCCCAAGCTCTGGCTGACCTGTGGGATACAGGGAATTCAACCTCTCTGTGACAGCAGAGGCTACTGGCAAGCTGCTAACATTCTGTTGATATTTCTTCAGTTCAGTCATCAGAGTACTGCAGACAGACTTTAAGGTGTGGTGGGGTAGTCTGATACACACCGTGGCCCACTGAAGTACACAAAGAAACTTCAATATGTGTGATGAAGTTCCCTTTAAGTGCTAATAGTTATACTGGCCAGAGCCTTACATTTTAAACATAATAATTACCAGGAGGCACTTTTCACAGACATATTTCATACATATCTATGGTCGATTTTCCTGCTTTGACGTTTTAACCAAATAATTTATTGTTCATCAAATATGTGATAAACTGCTGAATACAATCAAACTTGAATTGTTAATCTAAGCGAAATTACTAAACCAGTGAAAAAACTTCTAACCAACAGCCTCCACTGACCATGATTTTCTACTCAAACCATCATCATCTTGTCTTTCAATCATAAAAAACAAAATAATTCTCAAAACCATATTAGATATAGCAATCAAACTCACTTTAGCAACCTTGTGGTTTCCTTTAACAGATTCTTGAGCCTTTTCAATTCCCTTCTCAAGCTCCCTTATCACATCTTCTAACCCATCAACCCCTGGGAGCTCACCACTCATCAGACACTCTTGAAACAGATGGTTTGCCTAAAGAACAGAATTAAATAAAATAGATTTGATGTTCTGACAGGGCATAATATATAGTTCAGTTTTTACATTTAGCAACCTTTTCCTTGGTCGATAATGCGTTCTTTTCTCAGTACTTCAATAAAATCTATATTTCAAAACAAAATGACTTCTGTTACAAAATGTCCAACTTAAAACATTAATTAATTAATACTAACAAATAAATAAAGTGAATTGTGAATTTTTTCACAAGGAGAAATATTATATTACTGATGAATTAGTAAGAGTCTAATTGACCTCTTGCAATGGCAGCTCAACTTTGACTACATCATCTGTGGAAGCCACTGGAGCCTGTAACAATGTGTCCAGTAGAAGCATCCCACTAAGATCTTTCCTCACTCCCACCGAAAGTCCATCCGTAAATAATACTTTGTCCTTGGCAGAGAGGTATGCAGATTGGATATTGTCTGTTTGAGAGGCTAATTAAACAAATGGGAAGTCAGTATTAAAAAGACTGCAGACAAAAAGATGCCATGCACAATGTGGCATTCAAAAAGAAAGGTGAATATATTACCATCTTCATTTATGAAAACAACATAGCACTTAATAACATCAGTGCTACTACAGGATGCTTAAAATCTGTTTCCATCTCTGGGACTTGGTAGAAGCCTAGAATGAGGTAAGCCTCCTTAAAGATGGCAGAATACATGCTTGTAACTGATAATAGTTGTCACCAGTCTATCTCACTCAAATGTAACATGATGGGCCAGCAACTCAATGGTTCCTTTGTTGCTAACTTTCAATTATTAAAAAAATTTTGGACAACAAAGGACTTAAATTCTCATGAATTTTAACCTTGGTATGCATACTTTAAACTACAAAGATATTATCTGGCATTCCAACAATATAAAAAGCACAACAGAGTAGCACTGAACAATTTTTACAAAGTATGTATACAAAGGGTTAATTCAGAAGTGAAACTTGGAAAAAGAATCTCTAAAACTGATCTTCCAAATGGTGCTGGTGATTAAAGGTGATAGTAAAATAATAGTAAAATCTGAAGTCAGATGTGCATATTCATTAGGACAACTGACAATGCTCAGTGCTGCTTAAGCAGTATGTGGTGAAGGGGCAGGGGACACGACTAGGAGAGTGACAATTCCTTCTAGTTACAACATGTTTTAAATTAAGCAGAAACTTCTTTCTTTCGTTCTGGATGGTTAACCTTTTTTCTTTTATTCTGGAAAAAAAATCAACTGCACAAACTGTTGTCAAACTAGAATAATTTCATGCAAAGGTCTCAGGATATTCAGTCCACTATATATATTCACTTATAAAAATTGTTAAAACTGAAAACCCGGAACACATAGCTTACAATTTCTCATCACATTCACACCAAATGAAAATAAAAATCAAAATGAAAACCAAAAATCCTGAAATTGGGCATACTGAAAACTTTCACCCATGCATATATTCATTTAACACCCATAAATGGGAGTAATGTCTATAATCTGGAGATCATGTCATCAGCTCAGAAGTCAAAATTTATCTGGTTATCCAGACAGATTTGCATTAGTTGTATTTTTACTGATGGCAATCAAACATCATTAGTCCAGCATAGCATCATCAAATTCTGTTTTTTTTTTTTTTTTTTTTTTTTTTTTTTTTGCCTTACTGCATGAGAGTTGCCATATTCAGTCAAGTCACTGACTACTAGTATTTATGGCTGCTTTTCTGTGGAGTACATGTAACTCTTAATGCCAATATTGAGCCTTCACACTTCAGGCTTTCCAAGATTTTGAAAAAGCTTTGCAGTGACACGAATGATGCAAGTGTTTATAAAAATTAAGCACATGACCACTTTTACTTCAAACGAAGAAAAATCAATTTAATACTATTATACAACAATTTTAGTGTGACTGCAAAAAGTAAATTACAATCTTAAAGGAACGCATTAAAATGACTGCACTAAAATTTTTGATGCCTTCAAATAATATGACTCTTTGTAGAACTGACAATTTTAAGGATATAGCGACGAAAATGCAAGTAATGGCAAATGCGATCAAGGAATCCCTTGGCCTTACCACATAAGTCCGACTTTTGAAGAACTGAGCCCGTCGACACGTCTATTACTTTAACACCTGATTCTTTAGTTGTCACTATGATCACATTAAGCGTTGAATGGTAAGTCACACTTGTAGTCGATTCACCTATCCACCAATTAACTAGACCACAAATATCCATTTTCCCCTCTGCTTCTTCTTCAGAGGCTGCCATCTTGATTCCTGATCTCGCGAGGTGAAAATGACGTCATGCTTTCATCTTTAGTTTAAAATAAATTGTAGCATAAAAAACATAAATTTGGACTATAAGTAAACGTATTATACCAATATCAATTCAAAAGGCATATGAAGTAATGTGCAATTAGCAGTATTGTGACATATAAACCGATAAAATCCTTTTTGGTTAATCATATGATCAACGAGATTTAAACGAGACTTTGTATACGGGAGGATAATTTGGATCGGCAGTTCCTTAGTAACTCACCTACTAAAATGTCAGAGCAGTATTCTGTCGTTACCCAAAGTGTGGTCAATGTCACAGTGTCCAGCAATATAAATTCGTTTGGCACCGAAAGAAGATTTCCAAAAGATATTCCAATTGCGGAGTTGAAGGTTGGTTCCAAACCGAGCGCACTTGTCAAAGTTTGTAGTACCACAGTACATGTACATGTACTTGTAAGTGTACGTGGTTTAAGACTTGGGATAAACCTTTACAGGGACTAGCATAAGGACCTTGTGTTTGACCCAGGGAGCTTTTATGATATCACATTATATGTTGAATGACTTATTTTCTTTATTGTGTTCTGTTTTTAAAAAATAATTTGGGCCATTTAATTGTACAGTAATACTGATACTGGTATTGATCAGTGTATGAGTCACTGATGCAGAGAAAAATTTTGACGTGGTGGTTATTCTTATCATATTTGCATGATAAGCATAAGACGGCACTTGTCATAAAGACAAGGTGCTGGCACATGCATCAGCACTTTCATTTATGAATTTTTAATGTCTGCTTGCTAACACATGAAAAATTGCTAAAAATAAACTTGGAATGTCGTTCAGATGGTGTGTGGTGTTTGTTGCTTGGGCTCAATAAACTTTTTCTTGCCTGCCACCTCCTCAAGCTGCACACTACTGAAAGAGACAATCAGATTTGTTGTAGATGGCATTGTAATTAAGGTAAAATACACCAGCTTGTTTACCAGTGATGTTGTAAAATTATACCCCATTGAAGATTTTAATAGGTGGGAGAAATTTACTGTTGACCCTGGGAAAAATCCAAATCCTGAGTGTTGTTTTTGTGCTTAAAATTGACCATAGTGGATATGCCCCCTCCCCCAACAAATGAAGTAGGACCAGCCCTTAAATTTAGCTGTTATGTTCATTAAACATCATATTAAAAAACAACAATTGAAAATTAATTTCATCTGCTGACCCTGTTTACAGAGAATCATTGATCTTAACCAACTTATTTTGTCTCTCCTCCAAGACCTGGGCTTAAGCCCTCTTTTTTTATAACATATTAACGTCATATATCAAGATTCACAATGTAAACATACATACTGGTATATGTACTCAATGAAATAGGAAAGTTATTTTTACTTTCCAGATGAAGCTAGAACTTCTAACAGGAGCATCTTCTGCCACTATGAAGCTGGAGGCCTATGACAAGGATGACAAGTTGGTGTGTGCAATGGACAATGATGCAGCTATGCTGGGATCTTATCCTGTAGATGATGGAATGAGAATACATGTAAGTATAGACTTATAGACCTGTTAATGAAAGAAAGAGAGACAGAATGTTAACATTTTCATGCTGATTGTTACTTCATTTTGAAAATTGGTTGGGGAAGTTTGCCACAAGTATATCTTGGCTTTAAGTAGACCATTATTTCTGAGTTAAAAACACAAGATTTAGGACTTATTAATAAAGTGGACATATGGACTTATGAGTTGCTTGGATGTCAAAACTGGATAAAGTTTTAATCACTAGCATCTGTAATTTTTCTTACGCAGCATTCAGATTTGCACATCGCATTGGCCAGGTTGGTCCAACTCTCCGAGGGATTCTTACTCAAGTGCAGTCGGTGGAATCAATTGTCTGATACACCTCCTTGAGCAGCTAGGGGGTAGTTCACTATCATGTGCTGATTAAGCCGAGCCATAGCACTTTAGCTAGAATCCCTCGCACGGTTGGACACTCAGCTAGTGTCAAATGTGAATCTGAATGTGCCCTTAGTTCAAGGGATTTTGCAAGATGTATAATATCTGAAGAGTTAGATGTGTTGAAATTTGATTGATCCATTTATATTATTTTTAAATTCTAATTTTAATTCAGGTAAAAGATACAGCCCATACTGTAGGAGAATTTGAAGATGTTTCTAAGGTTGAGAAGTTTGAACTGACAGAAGAAGAGTATGCTAACAGAACAGGTAAGTGATACTTTAACAGAATTGTGTGCTAAGGCTCACAAGTAATCACAGCTAGGTTTACAAATTTAGCACTTTGGTTTAAACTATATTTTGCTGATTGCTCTGAAGAATATGCTTTCTTTCTTTCATTTGCTCTTAAAGTGATTGAAAAGGTGTTTGTGGTTAGTTAAATGGACACAGTTTGTGATATGATTGAACTCTTCTCTAAGAGATAGTTTCAGTGATCCACTTTGGATTGGGATTTGTTAGTTATGGTGGAAAGTTACATTTATTATTTATTAGGAAGAGTAACTTGCCCTTATGTTTATTCATTTATGTATTTTAATGATTTAAACACAGATAGTGTCAGAGCATTCAAGCAGAGAATGAAGCTAGGCCGCTTCCAAGATGTAGATCCTGAAGTTGCCAAGAAGCAAGAGGAAGAAAAGAAAGAAAAAGAAAAGAAGGAAAAAGAAAAAGCAGATTCTATGAAAGTTGGTGACAGGTGAGTCTTTTTCATTCTGTGATTTTTCAGAGAAATATTCATATGACTATTTAAAAAGGCATTTTTTGCTTCAGATGTCTCAAAGGTAGCTAACTATTGCTTACACTTGGTTCTCATGATCTTAGATTATGTGTCTTCCAAAACTTTATGCAGAAAAACTGCTGTTTCAGGTGTGAAGTCAAGCTAGCTAATCAGATGGCAAAGAGAGGCATTGTACAATATGTAGGTAAGGAAGAGAGGCTTCAAGTGTTCTTTTGGGTTTAATCCGCCCATCGCATTCTGTCTTAAGAATAAGATTTTAAACATTTAGATCCTCATGTTACAGAATCATGAAACTGGGGTATTAGTCCTTCAGCGTATAAATAAAGTTTCATAGTTAAACACAAAAAGTAACCCAGTTTTAAAGATTTAGTGGACAATTTATAGTGTGTAATAGTTATTTTTATCACTCTTTTATACTGCATGTACAATATAACTTTTAGTTGCCAAGAAAAAATATTATAATTGTTATGCTTGCAATTTTTTTTCTCCTGCAGGAACAACAGATTTCAAACCTGGGTATTGGGTTGGTGTACAGTATGATGAACCATATGGAAAGCACAATGGAACGTAAGTTCAATCAAGGATCTGTCCTTACACATTTGCCCTTGACATCACATACTTTGGCTGTATTCCCAGAGCTTTTAGATCGATCTATCCCCGCGGGGAGTCTCACTAGATTACTATCAGATAATCCGGCTTGAATGTCTGTCCCGCCTACTACAAGCTGTAAGGGGGTAATTAACTTTCGTGTCCGCTCGGCTGACAGCTATTTAGCGTGAACCCCCAGGGAGTTAGGTCGATCTAAAGTAGATCGATCTAATCTCTGGAAATGGGGTCTTTGACTTGTTTTATATATTTAGCTAAGTGTGGACTTCCCAGAACTGAAGTTGTAAGTAATAAGGAGGTATTATAACGTTGCAACTTTGTCAGCATCAGGTACTCTATTTAATTTTGTGAATTTTGCTTTGTATTTTAGATGAGAAAGGTTATAATTATTGCTTTATTTCTTGTTCCAAGAAAAGTAATAAAAAGTATACTAATGACCAGTAATGATTTCTTGAAATATTTTCAGAGTAAATGGAAAGCAGTACTTTCAATGTCCAGATAAATATGGTGCCTTTGTAAAGCCTGAGAATGTGGAAGTAGGGGATTTTCCTGAAGAAGATCTTGGCTTTGAGGATGATGAAATGTGAACTGCGGTACTTTTTCCATTTACTTTTTTCATTTCTAATTTGGAGTTTTGCACGTGTAGCTAAATGTTGTTTCCAATGATTTCAGATGTTTCTCAATTCATTAAAAGTCTGTTTCAATAAGTGAACAGTTGTTATTTATATGATTTTTACCAAAATCTACGTGAACATAGTTTTAGCCTTCTCTTTTCATAAAGATAGAATGTGAATCTTGGTTGCATAACACAAAGTTTAAGTTCTGTGATTGTGTTTTCTCTCAGCTACCACATTTAAAGCTGTCACAACTAACCAATTTATTGAACTGCATTTGTCTGCAGTTTACGAGGGGATTCATTATCAGTGTCATTTATGTTTTTTAATTAGTTGGTTTTTTAATAGGTCAGAGCTATGCACTGTCCTTTCTTGCATATATTTTTAAGCTCATGTAAAAAACTTATTCCGTGATTGTGCATGTAGTCTGCTGTTCTAGTTTGTATGTGGGTGGGTGTATGCATGTGTACATATGTACGGGCATGGAGTTTGGGGGGGGGGGGGAGAACACCTTATTTATATCTTTTGTATAAGGCAGTCTTTTGGATTTAAAGATGGCATGGTTTTAGTTCAAAATTTTAGGTATGAAATAGATTATCCACTTCAACAACTGATTGATGATTGAAATATCTTCTAAATCCTTTAAGGTCAGAACGAAACATTTTCCAAGAAAAATGTGGTGCCTGTTAGGGAAATATTTCCATAAACTGACGTCTGTGCTCTCCAGCAATTGACACAATGAGCTTATCCTTGCGTACACCATCACTCTGCGTCTGAATTAATGGACTTCTTTGTCTTCAGTTGTAAATTGTTAAATGAATATGTTTTGTATTGCTGCAGACAGTGTTTGGAAAGTGTGGACGGGATAATTTATTGGATTGAGAGTGCATGTGCAATTGATCCAGGGCAATTCTCTTTAGGCTTTAGCCCTTGTTTTCCATGTTTTTTGATGGGTTGCTGTATGGATTTTAGAGACCGCATGCTCGAGGGTAAAAGAAAAATGGTAATGATGCACAGAGAGATCAAAACTTTAACTGGTGCATTTAGCGGAAAAAATATCTATGGGGAAATAACAAATGCACAATTAATAGAATTAGAGAGGCACATGGACAGATATAAAGAATGGGAAGTACAGAACTGATGTTTTTTTACGAAACAGATATAACAGGATGCACTTTGTGTTGAAATGATAACCATTGAAATGTGGTCATTATGGATTGTTATTAGTTATTTATCGATAACTTAGATCTGGCACAAGTGTTTAAGTTCTATTGATGCACATTAAGAGCTATATCCTGTGGTGATAGTTTTTGGTGTTATTTTTACATTTCTTAAGAAAAAATACCTGAGATATGTGGTTGACATTATCTGTCCGTTTCCCAGAACATTGTTAAAGATAGTATTTTTATGCTGTATGGTATATTTTAGGATCAATCCATACACTGTAAAGCTCAGTTTGCCATATTGAAATGTCTTATTTCTTAAGTATTATTATGTGAAATTTTTATCTTTTCCTTTATTATGTAATGGAAAGCTGTTAGCTTAGTTTTTGTACAAACAAAATGTAATGGGTTTAAAAGGAACAAAATTAAGATATTCTTTGCAAATTCACACGTAGCGTAATAATTTTTTTTATTTGAAAGGCATATAGCTATGGTGATGGGCTGCCCATAGGTTATCAACTACCCAATGCCAACTTGTGTAATTGTACTTTTTTTAAATTATACTTTTTTACAATATAAAATTATCTTCATTTTCAAAATAAATAATTTTTGATCTTCAACAACAGTACTTCCTTTACAATGACATACAATTGATTTGTTAATAGTTGTTAGTTATCAGTGGCAGTATGAATACTGATTACCAATCACATGGAATGTATGCTTTTCACAGGTCTCATTAGATGTCATTCATCTAGTATTTTGCATAGATTGGGAAGGGATTGTAGTAATGTTTAAAAGGATAACAACTTTTCTTATGAAATCCATATTTCACAATAGATACAGTAAACAACTCATAAGAATGTAATAAATTCAATTTTACCACCAAAAGGACAGTTTTGACAATTATTCTGGAATCCATGCTTGATATTGGACCATGTGACATCAAAAGATGGCTACCCTCTGTAATTATCTCTAAGAGATTGTTATTAAAAAAAAAAACAGGAACTAAATTTGAATGTGGGTACAGTTTCATTAACCATTAGTAAGTATTGGAAAATTGTCAATTACCCAAGGAAAATCCGTTTTTTGGCCAAAATGAATAGTTGTTATCCCTCCAAGTATAATTTGTTCCCATATTCCCAAGTATAACAAAGTCAACAGTTGGTAGGAAATATGTAATAAATATCCCCCTTCTTTGATTAGACCTTTTCAGGCAACAGCACTACAGTAAGTCAGACTAAGCCTTCTATCTTCCATCTTGCAGTTTGTTGTGTCTCTGTGGGATGTGGGAGCCTGGCTGCCCAGTCTCTTGTGTCTCTTTGGGAGCCTGCTGCCCAGTCTGTTGTGTCTCTGTGTGGGAGCCTGGCTGCTCAGTCTGTTGTGCCTCTGCGGGAGCCTGCTGCCCAGTCTGTTGTGTCTCTGTGTGGGAGCCTGCTGCCCAGTCTGTTGTGGCTGTGTGGGGGCCTGCTATCCAGTCTGTTGTATCTCTGTGTGGGAGCCTGGCTGCCCAGACTGTTGTGGCTGTGTGGGAGCCTGCTGCCCAGTCTGTTGTATCTCTGTGTGGGGACCTGCTACCCAGTCTGTTGTGGTTGTGTGGGGGCCTGTTGCCCAGTCTGTTGTATCTCTGTGTGGGGGCCTGCTGCCCAGTCTGTTGTGTCTGTTTGGAGGCCAGCTATCCAGTCTGTTGTATATCTGTGTGGGAGCCTGCTGCCCAGTCTGTTGAGTCAATGATATATGGTAACAGTTATAATTTCTAGAAAAAAAGATGTTTCAGTGCATCAGATTTTTTATTTTGAACAAGACAACAGAATTTTTTTGAAATGGCAAATTTCTAAGCATCCGCTCTATATTAAGGTTGCTATTCCCTTGGGCTGACAGAAATATGTACATTTCAAATTTTGGTTGCAATGAAAGTAATCAAATGTATGTTCAGATGAAACAATGCGGTATATTATAGTAAGTGAACAGGTAAAGAATTTTTTTGTTTATTTAATGACACATGCCTCATTCTCTTTAATAAAAATTCTTACAATGCATGAGTGAGAGGCCTATTGTAGACAGCTCCAATCTCTGCAGACAATGAAAGTGCCACATCAATTAGTCTTGATTCTTTGCCATTTCACTTGAAACGCCAATCGATGCCAATTTGCAACGCCTTTTTCTATTATGGTAAAGGCCACTTGTCTGATAACTAGATTACCACATCAACTAATTTGGTAGAATGCATTTGCTCTGCTCAGTTGGCCAAGTTGTCATTAAGTTTTTTATCTCCTACATTTCTCATCCAGCATTAAGATGTAATATCAGAACCTGTTGGCATGCAAAGGTTAAAAACCCAACAGGATTTTTTTTCTGTATTTTGACGTAATGGGAGGGGCTGGATAATTTTGTGATCCAACTGAAAATAATTGTATGCCATGGTGGAACAACTTCATAGAATTTTTTTTTTCTCAAGAAAGTAAAATGTACCTGTGAAACCTTGACACCAGCCAGCAAAGTTTCCTCATGGTTCTTAAGTTATGATTATACATTCTAAGGGCATTATGATATGTGTTAGAGGAATTGAAGTTGGGGGGGGGGTGAAAGAAGGGAACTTCCTTTAAATCCATTATTTAATGGATAACTTATTTGTTTCTCCAAATGTAACTTGAAGTAATACTTTAAACCCAGCATCATTTATGCTGTAGTGTGACACATCAGCTTAGTTTCCCATACATTTTTTTCATGAACGTCATCAGTGGTTTATCCTTGAGTGATCAGATAAGCAAAGGATGTTTTTTGTTAATAAGATGTGGAGAAGAAAATGTGCATTCATATTTTCTCAGTAATACAGAGTTGGCAGCAGGCCCACGCACAGACACAGCAGACATCTCAGTAATAATCAACTGACAAATAGCAGATATCAATATTTTCACGCAAATCGTGCTTTGTGTTTGGAGATCTTTAGGTTATCATGTTCTGCTAAAATTAAAAACTTGATATTTTTGTGGTAAAAACTGAATTCTGACACAGGAAGTGTAGATAACTGAAATATCAGTATGCCTTTTTCATGCCAGATTAAAGATTCATTTTCTATGTCTTGTTGAGGTATCAACATGATACTCAATTATTCCTGAACGTGTGATGTACATCTGTATTATTTTAAATGCCTATCATAAAAACATGGTTTCCTAATCATCTTGTGAGGTTGTGTCAGTTTTTGTTCTTGCCCATGGTACTGATTCATCCCCTTATCTTTAGGGTATGTGTTTCATGTGAAAGGAAATTAGGTAAGTGATTATCATGTTTCTTACTTAAATCCCATGGGTTTTCATTTTGATGAATATTCAATATTCTTAGATTATTGAAGATAATTAATGACAATAGTTCATATGAGTTGTCAAGCTCTACAGATTTCTAGCGGTTGCTATACGGTATTATGCCAAACAGTTCAAACAAAATCAATAAATTTTTTTAAAAATGCTTTTATCGAATACAGCAATGAAAACTTTTGAAAATTTTTTTGATGTTTTGGACCATCCGCTAAAACTTCCATGTTACCAGGAGTATATTAAAACAATTCAAATAGGCAAAATATTGTAATTTCCATCTATTTCCTTCCCCACCTAAAATTGTTTCATAATAAGAAAAGTGACAACATACCCTTAGCTCTGACAGGTGTAGGAAACAGTACCTGTTCACTTATTTTTGAAGCTGGTAGCATACTAGATGGACTCAAACCATTTATGTTATTATGTTATTAAGATGAATGTCTGGTCTGACGTCTACTTGGGCCCTACAAATTTTAAAGGGATAACAACTGTTTGTAAGACATTAATACATGGTAAACAACTCATAAAAATATAATGAATTCTATTTTACCACCACAAAGGTGGTTTAAGCAATGATCCTGGAATTTGTGCTTGCCATCACGTCACGTGTTCTCCATAGATGGCCATACTCTGTAATAATCTCTTAAGAGAATATAACAAAAAACCAAAATTTTCGGGAAAAAAAACAGGGACTAACTTTGAATGTGGGAATGGATTTATTAACAATTGGTATGGGAAAATTGTCCTTTATCCCAGGAAAATCCATTTTTTGGCCAATATGAACAGTTGTTATCCCTTTAATATGTGAACCGAACTCAACCAGAAGTTTAAAATTTATTTTATCAGATCGGAAATGCTTTAAGTTGCAGAGTCTGCTTGAAATCAAAATTCGACCACCCATGTCAAAGAATACCAGTTGTTACTCAAAGTTAATCCTATCACCTTAAATTATGTCATATAAATTGTATTAATAAAAGGCAATCTAAGGGGTCTACTTGTGACAATAGACTTCTCTTGCGGCCACTGTTCACTGATTTTCTTATTCACGCTTATACAGAACACTAGCTGTGCACTGGTCCCAGTACAAGTTGAGAACCCTGTTGATACAAACTGAATGAAAATGGACATTCCAAGGTCATATTTTTCACAAAACTGATACGCCTGAATTTGATGCAAAACAAAACAAACACATAGTTTATTTTTTTAGAAAATGAGAGGCTGGTCTGATCTGGTTTGCTAATTTTATCTTGGTTTATTTTTTAGAAAATGAGAGACTGGTCTGATCTGGTTTGCTAATTTTATCTTTCTCAGCATTCCTAGTGCGACCCACAGATATATGAAAAGGGTACCATTAAGGGAGGGGGGGTGACAGGAATGGGGTTCTTCATGGATTGTGCTAAATATATGAACGTTTTATGTATCTTGGGGTAAAAAAAGTGGCTTTCATGAGTAAGGAAAAAATATGCAGTGGGACTCTCTATGAAGCTTCACCTTTCACGACCATATAAGTTACTGTATATGCCCAGAAGGTGATAAGGATAACATCATTTTTATTGTAACCATATATCAGTTTGCTTTGTAGGTGAACAGCTCACATGTTTGTCAGATTTTGGCAGTGGTCAGTATTTGGGGCCTAGAAGTCTGGGTTGATCTTGTTGCTCTTTCTGTGGAGTGATTGTAGTAAACATGGGGTCTTGCGGTATTATACTTCAACTACATATTCCTTTCTGCATATATGTTTCAGTTTATTATTTATTTATTTGGTTGTATTGATCGCACCATTCAGATTGTTTGAGCAACTGCCGTATATAGTTCTGAAATCCAAAGCATTTATATATTGACCAAAAGATTATCACATCGACCAAATGTAGTTTCATTTTGGACGCCAATTAATTTCTGTTTTGTGGTGGAAGTTATTGACCCAAAGGTTTAAGTGATGCTCATCTAACACAATTAACATGCTTTGATTATTCCTTTTTCCTGGAAAATAGTTCTTTGACATCATGGTAAGGCATATGGATGTGGACTGTACATTTACTAACCATGTCAAAGTATCATGTTTGCCATCCTCCTGGGAAATTAATTCTAAATTGCTGAATATTTGATTAGATATTTTGATTGGGTACTTATGAAAATTGAACTTGTTGGCAGAGCTGAGGCTACACAGTTTTCTTGGAGAAAGGTGAAGAGAGATATGCATGTAGGGGTGTCCCTGTGAGAGATCAGATGTTGTTAGTAGTGCTGATAGTGCCTGGACTCTCATTTCACCTACTTATATGCCTTAATCAGAAACTGTCAGTCCCAGCAAAAATTTAGACCGATAGAAAATTGTGCTCAGTTGCTTTGAGGGTTTAGCAACGATTTTAAGAGCTTCCATTTTAGATTTAAGGACAGTCCAGCAGAAATTACATCAATTTAGCAAATATATCTTTATCTGCTAATCCCAGTGTCCAGCTGTTTTAAAAGTTTTAAGCATGTCTGTGTTATTTATAATTTTCACTTGAAGTTAAAGCACATGGAAGTTCTGAGAGGGATATTTTATGTTAGTTTAAGTGTAGAGTACTAGTATGAGGGTGTTCAAGGCAACCTCCTCACAATCAGAGATTATTAAATGTTGAGTTAATTATACATTTTATTCAGAAAGTGAGTATCTGCCAGTCAGAGTCAAAGCAGAGAAAAAGCATTTGATTTATGCTTTTATAGTGTTTTGGGTGTATTTCCTAAGTTTCTAAGACCCTAAGTTGACATTTCTTCTTAGGTATGGAAAATACACCAGGCAGCTCCTTTATCAGAATAACATTGATTGTAAAACATTTATGAAAGGGCACTAGTGTCACATCCTTTTGCAGCACATTAAAGCTGACACAATTAAAGTTGAATTATACTGCTGGTCACTGGATGATGAAATCTGCGCCAACCATATTTGGTGTATTTGTATTCACGTTTATAGAGAAATGAAGAAATATGGAGGATTCTTCAGTTAAATGGCTCATGATCAGTATATATACATGATCCTTAGGTGACTTTTTAGACCACATATGTTTTTGTACTGAGTTTCTCAAGGTGAATGCATCCCCATTGGTTAGTGACATCCAAGGTCTGCCGATTTAGTACCATTCAACAAGCAAACCTGCTTTAAAGTTTGCACTAGTCTTTGCATGTATTGTTGCATGTCAGTTTTGTCTTAATAAGAAAAGCAAGTAGGAAAAGTAGCACATTCCAGGAAAAGATTATGTCACTGATTTAAGATCAGACAAAAATCTCTGTTTTGCATGTTATTGGTTTCCTTTTAACCCAGCTAGGGCTTATGCAGCCAGATACTTTTTCCTCTGGTTTCAGTACACTTCCCTGGATTGAATACACTTCTGTCATACATTTCTCACCTATAATTGTTACATGCATTATTAAATATCATTGAGCTAAGTAGAGTGGTAGCTGTCAGATAACAGATAGGAATGGTTTGGTAATGATGAAAAGTCTCCATTTCTGTCCAGTCTCTCCCTGTAGCCATTTAACCATTTTTCCAAACTGCCACTTAAGCAAACAAATCCCCACTACTAATTAACCATTACCCACAACCATTCAATTGTCTGACCCCCACAATGGTTCAACCACTCTCCCAACTGCCGTTCAACTCCCATTCCCACCTAAACCGTTTAACTACCATCTCCACAACCATTCAACCAGTCTTCCCACAACCATTCAACTGCCATCCCCGCAACCATTCTGGGGTAGCGTTAGCAATTTTTTTCGCTTAGCCATATCACCACATTTTTGTCAATTTGTTATCAAAATGGTTATAATTTGGCTAAAACATGTCAAATCAAGCCCTTTTTCTTTAGCCAATTTAAGTACGTTTTAGCATTTGGCTAAATAGCGCTACCCCAGCTTCAGACATTCCCCCATCCCTTCAATTTTTTCCTGTCTGATCAATGCACTCTTCATTACAACTGTGTGGGACCTGGATGTCTAGGCAGCAGAGCTGTTATGCAGCTTTGTGCATCCAAATTGACAATAATCGAGCAAAAAGCAATACACTTGATACATTCCTGTCATTGTGACAAAGTGGGTTACTGGTAAACTAGGCAAACACAACCTCCACAATGGTTGAAAATTGATAAAGACGTATTATTTATTCAAGAATGACAAACAAATGTAAGAAGAGATGCACCATTGCAGCATGTCCACAAAAACAGTACTTATTTTAAACTTGTGCACATGGTTATTAAGGCAATATATATTTATATTATTGAATGGATTATTGTAAGAGAATAAAGTGATAAATTGTTAAAGAAGTTGGAATGAGTTTACCATCACTACAAATGAAATATATATGTATATACACACTGTGTCAAACAAAGTGACTAACCTGATCTAAATTAAGAAACACATCTAGAAGAGTTTACAAGAAAGATTCACAAAGGTTTTGTCTTGATTTCACAGATTGCGTCTCTATGGTAACATGTTTTATGTCAATAAATGTGTATATATAATTGTGTATTAAGCAAGTCAAAGTCATTGTGTGCTATATTGCCTAATATTGATGGCAAAGATGGATGACAAAGAACCAAGCATATGTCTGATAAGTTTCATCTCAGTTGCAAGAGACGAACACTAGCAATGAACACTTATCACTTGAATGGGCTATTTGTTATTTTTTAAGGGGAAGGGGTGCATGTACACATCTTAATGAAAAGATTAATGATGAAAAGATAAAACTTTGTATCTGTGACATAAATTGCTATATATACCATCTTCAGATTCTTTTTCTAAATCTTACAACCCTGAGTTTTTGTGAGACCAAGACCTAAATTGAAAGTGCCTTTGTACCAAGAGGTGAACCCAAATGTGTGGTGTACATTGTTCACTTGGAGATGTTTTGAATAATTTAAATCTAGTTTAGCCAAATGGGGAATGTTTTTCTAATGTCAACTACCTTGGAATGGTAATTAGGGATATAAGTTATGATTTTTTCAACATTGGTAATAAAGGGGATTTGCTTTGGGTTGAGGTTTCAAATAATCTGTGGTTTGCAAGAAGAAAAAAGTGTATGAGGTAGCCACATCAACGGCACTAAATTAATGGTATAGTTGCTGGAATTTTCCCTTTCTGAAGTTTTCTTAGAAACCTGCCGTAGTTTGTACGAAGTAAACTTGGCTGTCAATTACTTAGACCCCATTCCCATAGATTTTAGATCGATATATCCCTGTGGGGAGTCTCACTAGATTACTGTCAGCTTAGCCGGCTTAAGCGTCTGTCCCGCCTACTAAAAGCTGTAAGTGGGTAATTAACTTGGCTGACTGCAATTTAGCGTGAACCCCCAGGGAGTTAGGTCGATCTAAATCTAAATCTCTGGGAATGCACCCTTAGACTTCAAATAAATCAAACAATAATATTACAGAGATTAAAAATTGTAAAAGTGGTTTATCACACAATCAAAATTTTAAGTGTTTTGTGTCACAACCATGATTATTATCTAACACAATTCCACCCATGAAACTCCTTGTTTGCCTTACGGAAATTAAATAACAGCTAAGCTGTCTGTTAACCAAGCAATGTCTTATGATTATGAATACCTATAAATGTGTATTTATATGTGCATGTCCACACAACACAACTGAATTGCATATTTAGAAAGATGAAACTTATTACATGTATCTAGACAATGTTTACACATCTTCTTGACCTAATTTTTTGTTTAAAATTGCCAAAGGTCCGACTCCGCCTTGGAAACCGCTGCTGCTGCCATTTTGAAAAATGGCTTGCCTTGATGTATCATGCAGTTGTTTTTGCATCATAAGTAAGGATATTTTGTTATTTTGAAGGAAATCTTTCATGGAAATCATCTCCCCTGATCCCCGTCTTGAGTAGTCACTGTCATAATTTGAATCTACATCTGTAGAATCACTCTTTTTTGTTGCTCGTTGCAGGTGACCAGGAGTGATTGCATTCCTTCTTGGACGGGGCTTGGGGCGTGGTTGGCATGTCTTGCAGTCCAGCTTACGAATCAGCCAGTTGAGAACTTGCTTTATCACAATAGAAATCACATTAAAAAGGCTGTAAATGCAACAGCAACCTAAAACAATTAAGATGAAGTTCATGAATCTATAAATGTGAACATTTATGTTTTGATAATCAGCTGACTGACTGACAACAAGGTCACCAAATCCAATTGTTGCAAAGGTAACAAAACAGAAGTAGATGGCCTCGAAGTAGGTCCATTGTTCTACTGGATGATAGAGTGCAGAGGCACAGCACGCAATGACAATGGCCCCCAGCATTAATATCAGCATCACCCAGTACACAGACGGTTTCCATGAATCCAAGTTGTCCTCCGAACCCTGAGAACCACGGCGGCCATTTTTGTCCTTGGTTAGTAGTCCTTTGCGTCGTAGATCGTGTTCATGTATACGTCTTAAGACATATGCCAAGAATGTTATGATCCTTTCAAGGAACAAGTTGAAGAATAGAATTGCACCTGCACAACCAAGGAATCCATAGAATATCAGGATTATTTTGCCAGCCATTGTCCTTGGAGTCGTCATCCCGAATCCTGAAAAATTGCAAATATATTAGATTTTCATTGGTGTTTTTTTATATCCTATCTTTAAATAATATATATATATATATATATCAATTGGTCATTTATTCGCTTTTACATTTAAGTATGGCAGTTTCGTTGCCACTGTGTTATTCATTACTATATGATGCAATATAACCATACCAAAAGAAGAATGTTTTACCCATTTAAGCAGTTTCTGCATCTTAATTTGTGATGTATTTGTGTATACAGAAAAAAATTAAATAAAAGCAGTTTTCTACTCTGTGATGTATAGATTATTTTCAATTTAACAGATTGCCCGTTTAATGCAGTTACCATGTTAGAAAAGTGATGAGTGCACTTTGAGATAATTGTTTTATGGTGAATAGCAGTTCTGAGCAGTTGAAGCTGCTTATACTGTCTGATACGAACTTGACCGCACACTTTAGCATTATTTGTGGTTTAAGTATATATAAGTTTGTTAAGGTGATAAATGTGCTTATTTATTACAATTTACTTTTTCCTTGTTGGAAGGTTATGCATTGCTGTAATGTCACAGTGCTTGTTGATGTTGAAAGTATATAAATCGATATCTTCCTGATCTTGGATATATTAAAAATATCATTTTCTGAACTTGAAGACGTTTGCGTATTGTTAGGAAAGGGGGGGGGGGGCAGTAAAACCGAAAATGTCGCCAATCTTCATTTGTGCAATGAATACTAGAAACTTCATTACGCATCAACCAAAGACCGGGTTGCGTAGGGTAGGACAGGGCAGAAATAGAGCTCCAGAGCTACTTGCTTAAGCCCAAGCACGTGTTCAATTGCCAGCCCGGTTGGTGGAGATCCAGCGAGAGGGATGGAACGGAAGCTCAGGGATCCACATGGCAGTGAAAACGTTTCCGTTTGGTCAAAATAGAAAGGAGCACCGACAAACCAAAAACAAAATATCGTAATCTGTGGCTTTGTGTGAAACGTTTTGACTGCCTTGTACCGGAAAACTCGACAGTGTTTAGATTTTTTATTATATTTTTATAGTATATTATGCAATCTGAAATGGGCTTTTCCGGTTTTACTGGCCCTCGAGAGTAACAATTTGCACTTTTGTGCGACAAATCTCATAAGTGTGTACTGATTCAAGGGAACAGGTTTGAGTACGTCTCGGAGTCTCAAGGCGACGAAACCATTATCGGTTAGGAATCTTCAAATTATCATGCAAAATCATGACAAGAAACGGGGTAGGAACTCCTCTTCAGATCCCCGAGGCGTTTTGACAAATACCAAACCTGTTTGTTGCTGAAGTCTCCACATAAATGTAAAACCGCCTCAAAAACGCCTTGGCAGTGTAAGTAGTTTTATTCATAACAACAATGGGGCTATTTCGCTCCAAAGAAACTTTCCTTTTTGTAAAAAAAAGTAAGTGAAATGTAAAATTCGTGGAGTTGCTACAGTAGACTTCTCAGAATTCGCCCCCTTATAACTCTAAATGTTTTTTTTTTTTCCTTAACGAGTCGTATGGAACATAGGAACATATTCTTCTTTATAACAAGCTGAAACTTACTGAACGTCGCCTAACTAGGGTTTGTGCGTAACTGGAACAAATCAGCTGGCCCCAAAACGTCAGAGTTCTGCAGAGTCTGGTGCATATATAGATAACGTTTTTTTTTTGTTTGTTTGTTTTTTTTAACATCGGAAAAAAATTAACTGGGCCAGTAAGTGACTTTTACTGGAACAGTCCGAATTTTACAGGGAATCGGTAACGTATTATTATAAAAAAAGGTAACGTTATGTTATCGATAATCATGATTACGTCATTATCATAACACTTCTCTAAATATCAGAACTGTGTTTTTGTCATATAAAAAAGCAAGATCATGCATCATGGGGACTATGATGGTGATAGATAGTAATAATACGTTACTTTCAGGAACTCAAAATTGAAAGAGAATCATCTGGTAAACATAACTGGTTTGTTGTTTTCAGGCAATGAAATGGAGTTGCAGTATAAAGAGTATCGAAAGTGCAGTCAAAATCCGTATCGCTCTAAATATCAACCCTCTACCAGCGCCACGCATTAGAGGATTGAGTCATGAATTGACCAAAACCAAATCTGTGAATGTCAAGTGAAAATCAATCTGTGGCTTGGTAGAGGGTACTGAAAGTTCACTTCTTTGCCTCACAGATGTTTAAAAAGTAAACTATAGAAACTGTATAAAAGTGAACAACATGAATCATTCCGGGCATGATCAGAACACATAGGGCCTACTCCTAGCCAAGTTTGCATCCAAATGATCAATTTCTAGCAAGTTCCATCAATTGCGGTTATTTGGGGCAAACGCTTGTACAATAAAAGACCATCTCCAGTGAAACAGACGCCCACGAACCATATTGGCTCAATGTAGAGCAAACATACTAGTAGACATGCTGATTCTCTATGTCCAATACATATTCTTTTACTTATTGAGTTATTAATTTTTTGCAAGAGTTCCCGCTCGTTTTTTTTTTTTTTTTTTTTTTTTTTTTTCGGCAAAAAAGAGTAAAACTTTAAGACGCTTTCGATTGTGCTCACTGGTCAGCCTCTTAACTGGTTGATAAAGCAAAGCGAAAGCTGTTTACCTTCAGTACCAAAAAGTCCGCACGTGTAGTCTTAAGCCGACCTATTAAGCCGAGGAAATAATAATGTAAAAACCGTCATTAGTGTTCATCTTTCTAAAATTAGTTTCATTAATCAGCGGCGTATTTGTGCACAGGCTTATTATTGTACTGTTTTGGAGGTAATTTTCGTAATTAAACCTCGTCAAAAATTTTCAGACAAATCTGATTTCCTTATAGTAAGGGTTTTCCTTATGACCATTTGAGAGCTCAGTACGTGGATAATGGCTATTTATACAATTACATGCAAAAATTTTGTACTGAATGCCCCTATAATTTTTTCGTCTTCTAACGATACTCAGCGTAGCAGCATGCAGTTTTGGGCAAGTATTAAACTGACTTGCAAAATTGTAATTTTGGCGAACGGTTCTAAGGAAAATAATATCAATATGTTTCGTTTCCTACATACAAGTCTCGTTGAATGTGTAGAAATGGAGATAAAACGCTTAGCCACAATGTCGGCTTTTCTGTTAGTCCACAAATTGAATTGTAAATTAAAGGACGTGGTCTTTATACCAGATGCAACTGGTATTCTCAGCTGTTTTTGTTACACGTCTGTCCGAACACTTTGTTTTCTACGGGTTGAGGATTTAGTCTCTTAAGGCCCAGAAACTTCAACCCGCGAAGAAATTTACCTCAAATAAATACAATTTAGGAGCTTTAATCTAGTATCTTATCCATGCTAGATAGCCTTGAACATAAGCTTCGAGTCTGTGCGACATCGATTCCGGGCAAGTTAAGCCCAGAGAGAGAAATGTAAAGAGATTTTCTTCGAGATACTCTACTTTAGTTGCTAATCTAGTAGTCTAATGTTCACTATTCACGAAAGAATGGCCGCCACCTACGGCAGCACAGCCTGTCAAGGAACCGCGCATGCTGCAGGTGCGCCCTGAAGCTTGGCGCGTGGTTCTTTGTAGAATGTAGTTAACATAAGGCTACTGCTTGAGGCTGTAGGCAATATCTGCTGAGAATTCGTTGTCAGGGAACAAGACAGCAGTTCCTTAAAAGAAAGATGTCGAAAATCCGCTGATGCGTATTCTTGAAAACAGGCAGTTTTGATGTTCATGTCAGTGATTATATGTACATTAATGTGATCTGAGTGTATTTAAACGAAAAAGGAAAACAGTTGCGAGAATGGGGGCAATTTTAACGTAAAATAACATATTTTCGACATTTTGCATAATGAAACATGCAGAAAATGAATGAATGGTTTGGAAAAAATGATTTATATTAGAAAGATTTTAAACGTATGTTAGAGTGATACTCAGTACAGTAAGATGTTGTATCTTTAGTTTGGCCAGGGGCAAATGTACATTGGAATAGAAGCTAAGTGCATATATTCCCTCTGTGAAATATTAGATTACAACGCACGAGTGGTGAATCCGGTCACCTTTCCTTACATTCAGACTTACTTTCTTAAAGCAAATAATACTAAGTTGCACATTCTTCATGAAAATGTGATTATCATCTATACAAACGCTGTGACTGTCTGGAAGAAGGTCATTACCCATGAGACCATAAATCTAGAAAATCTGGCATAGCGCTTTTGGGTTACGATTCTTTGGGGGTGTGTTTGGTGCCAAAGCTATCCAGTCAAAAGTCGTATGCGCCGGAGGTAGTGTTATGGAGTAGTGTCTGGTATAATATTACTTTCATTGAATTATGGCGGAAAGCTTTTTTAAGAAACATAAAAAACATTAATGTTAATCAGAAAAAATAACTCTCAGCAACAAATCTACCACACAAAAAGTATTTACATGCCAATTTGAAATCTAATCTAATTCCGTGTCAAGCTTCTAGATTACCAAGCCGTCAACATGAGACCTTGGCAGAAAGGCTATTTAGCCGCTGACAGTCCCCATGTGTTTTCATAAGAATGTGTTGACCATTCTCTCGTGATGTTACTGACTGCGTGGAAAAGGCCACGAAAAGATCAGATGAAATAAGTGGGCGTCCTCGACGTTCGCTCTAACACGTGAGGCGCCGCCACAAATGACACATAAAAACGTGACAGGAAGTAATGGCCAATGTCCTCTGGAAATAATTTCTGCGGTCTGTGATATCCCAGCAAACAGAACATTATTATATAGTTACTATCATCATCATCATCATCATTCTATTTTCGGCTCGTTTCGTTTTATAAACGTTACCGTAATTGTGGTAACGTTATAAAAAACGTCCTATGGTCTGTGGTATATTCATTACGTGTTATAAAATATATTTTAAGTGCTGGACGACATTTACAACATTTTGACCACTAAACTGAGTTATAATTATATCTTTTACTCAAATGGATTTCTGTCACAGGTTAGATATAATGTCATAAGATCTCGTTGTCAATGCAACATGAAAATAAACATA